TCCAATGAATCGAAATTGTATTTCCGTTTTCCTTTGAATTTTTGATAGTAGAAACTAGAAACTAAGAAAGGATCACAACGTGTAGCAATGTAGTCAGCAAAATGGTTGAGAATCTTGAAATTACTTCTCCTTGCATTACCAAAGATGGGAAAACTCGTGAGACCAAAACCTAGAATATGGGACTAAGATGTAGCCCCATTAACAAAACAGAGAGTAAAAACTTGAAATTAGGAATTTGGTAGGGGCCACGCGAACGCTTACCCCCGGTGCCATTGGGGAGATGTTAGGCAGGCACTCTTCCCCAGTGCAAACCTAAGCCATGAGCCTTCTTGATCACCCATCTAGGTATGTATGTTTATCCTGATTTCTTTTCTTCTATTTATAATAGCTTTCTCTCTTTCGTCTTTCTTGAACGATGTGGCACTCTACTTCCGGTATAGGCTAATCGGTTTTGATTTGGAAACCTCTGATAGAAGTGAACCCAATTGTACCGGTTCTGCTTTTGAGCTTTGTGTCCCGATTATAATTGGGTTGGGACCGGCTTTTGCTATTTCGAATTGATTAAGACCTGAATACAAATAATTGATTAAGACCTGAATTGATTAATAGTATATAAAGGTTTCATAATTTTTTTTTTATATTTTATATCTGAAAAGGATAAATTTTATGTAATATATAAGATAATTTTATTTAAAAAATATTTGTCTTATTAACATATAAATAGTTGGGATGAGCAAATGAATAGATTCTACCTGGAACCAATCTCAAATCGGTCTTCAATTGACCTTACCCAATCTGTTTGCACACATGGTCTGATTTCAAATTGGTAGAACTAATTCCTACCCAACTAAGTCTAGGACCTAGGGGTTTATATTACCCAAACAGATTCATAGAATTGGCCTTGGTGGAACTGGTTTTGGAACTAAACTTGCCTAAAAATAAATTTTAAAATACATTGAGGATGTAAAGATTTGAACCAAGCACTCATGGTTACAACGACTATGGTCTCACTTTACCATTGAGTCACTTATAAAGAATTATTGTTGTTGTTGTTGAGAATCAAGAACAGTCTCTAGAGGGGAAGGGGGTGAAGAAAGAACAGATTACATCAATAGACTTTGGAATCACCAAGGCTAGAACCGAATTTGACAAGATAGATTTTGGTTCCAAAAATTTGAAATTGAACAGATTACATCAGTAGACCTTGGAATCGCTAAGGCTAAAACCAAATTTGACAAGATAGGTTTTGGTTCCAAAATTTTGGAATTGACCCACAGAGTAAGTTCGTATGTTCCAAGTTCAGGCTTGGAACCAAACCAAATAGACCCATGTTCACCATATGTGTGTGTGGTGACAACTAAATGCCATTAGCCACCATATAAACTAAATAGTGAAAAAAAAAAGCATGCATTGTTGTAGGAAACATCACCCAACAACTCGAATAACACATTTCTTTGATAAAAGGTTTAACCTAACAACATTTCAATTTCCTTTGGAGGACAGGCTTATGTGGTGCTGCATTGTTTTTCAAACACACTTGGACCAAACACCATGACTTGCACAAAATCCAAGTCAAATGTCCACTGTATATAGTATTTATCATGATTGTAGATGTCAAGTATAATTGGGTGAAATGAGGTTAGACCTGATTATCCCAATTAATAGTTTGTTTTTTGTTCTGATCTAAACTTTTTGTCTTGGTTATGATTTTGGGAACGGTTCCACCCTGTGTGGACTAGACCCGATCTATTGACAGCTCTACATTGGCACGGCATATTTTGTGCCAGTTAGGAGTTTTGCACAATGACATTTTGTGTATCAAGATGGATTTAAGGCTCAATTTGGAAGGAGTACAAATATAAGTGTGTACAGTGCAAATATATACAAGATAATACAAAATACAAGGTTTTGCACTCTATAAATTTGTATTTGTACTATTTCCAAACTGAGCCTAAGGTTACATTTGGTTGCGATATAAACGCAAATATATACTTTGCATAATTACCCTCTTTTTGGTTTGCATTTTTAAACCGTTTTTGTACTTATTTTGTTTATTTGAAATCGGTGCAAAGCATGCACCCCCATCATTAAATGCTCCAATGTCTTTACTTTGGTCAAAAAGCAAAATTATCAAAACACAAAAATGTATCAAAAAAATAGGTACAGTAATGTTCTCTCCTCGTATTACAAACGTGTAAAAAAATACATTTTTGATCTCTTAATCATTACATTTTTACACGTCAAATGAACACTCACAAATGCGAATCGAAGTACATAAATACCCTGGTTCAGCGTTTGTATCGCAAACAAATGGAGCCTAAGGTGAAAATGCAGAAGTTATGTTTAGTAAAATCCCATAATGAAGCATGTGCCTTCCAAATGCCATTTTTATGATTGTTGAGTGAAGCTACTCTGAGTAGCTTATCTGAAACACACACGCTCAACAATCACCACTTCTATAGCAGACCCTTCCAAACAGGCTCGTATTGAATTTGAAGGACCAGTTTGGATGTTTGTGGTTGGCCTCGTACTAAACACAAAACAAAAGTAAATCAAAATTTGATCTCAACACAACACTTTTGCACTAGTACAAATGCAATGGTGCAGGGGAAGGTTGCAAAAATGACCTAATCGTAGCCCAGGTCAACATCTCCCAAACCTAACTCTATTTTCATTGCTGTCTCATTTGGGTCATTCTGGTCCAACTCAGCTTACATGTTTACTCAATAATAATGTACACTAGAACTGCAACTTGGGTTGGATCAGCCTGATCCCGATTTTCCACCAATGTTAAGTTGGGTTGGGTTGGATCATGTTGAAGTTTGGGCTAAGGATTGAAAAAGTATGAATCGGAATTAACTTTGAGTTAGGTTAAGGTTGAGACCTAGGTCAATCCAATCTACCCTAAACCCTATTTTGCTTTATATTTACATATATAAATATTATATTAACATTTATTTATGTATGCCATTATTTTTTAGATATGTAGTATGCATATGTAATATATATATATATATGTTTGTGTGTGTACTTGTAAGTAAGCATATGTAAATGTATGCATGCATGTACATATTGGAAGGCAAAATATTTTAGAGGGTAAAATACTTATACTTCCCCTCACCTTTAAATGTTGCAAAGACCTCCCCTAACCTTTGATGTAAAATCTTCTTATTGACCCCTTCAATTAGTTAAACATTATAAACTTAATTGAAATATAAATTTATTGTTCTAATTTTTTAAAATACCAAAATTACCCATAATCATGTTTGGGTAAAATACTTCTCCCTTGACTTTCTTATATGTACTTAAACATCGCTCACCTTTTGGGATGCAACAAGTGCTTATATAGCTCAAGATTTTAATGAGGCAATGTTGAAGTTGAAGAATTTTAGTCAACCAGCTTGGGAGTGAGTCAAGGACATTTTGGAGTAGACATGCTTTCAACACAAGTGCAAAGATTGATGGCTTAACTAACAATATGTCCTAATCCTTCAACAAATGGATAATGGAAGCCAAGTAGAATCCCGTAGTGTCTCTTTTTGAGTGCATAAGGAGAAATTGGATTGTTAAGACGATGAGCAGATATGAAAAGGTTTCAAATGACAACAATGTTCTTATTAGAAGCGTCAGCGGAACCTAGGCATAATTCATGGGTAATTTGGGTATTTCAAAAAATTTAGAGCAATAGATTTATATTTCAATTAAATTTCTAATGTGCAACTAAGGAAAAGGGGTCAGCAAGCAGATTTTACATCAAGGGAGGTTTAAGTACTTAGTAGAAACGTCAGAGGAGGTATAAGTATTTTACCCTATTTTAGAAGCGTGATAACTATATTCTTTTTGCTTATCACTAGTGTAAGAGGATATATGTGTAATATGCACAAGCAAGTATTAACTCCATATCAAATATGGTATTTGGATTTAACATTTATTATTTATATAAAACAAGGTGAGATGCTAAAAATCCTTGAATATGTGAAATAAGAACATTTGATGATTTCACAAAAGGAGGTAGAGAGTTAGACCAACTCAAACCCAATGTAGTTGGCATTAGGGTTGTCAATGAGTTATGTATGGATTTGATTTGGATAAAATTGGAATTGATCCGCCAATAACCATTAAGGAACCTAAATCAAACCACACCTCATAGGGCCTATAATGTTTAGACCTAAAACTTAACCGATTGGTTATTGGGACAATTGAGTTTGACCTGATGGGCAAAATTGGAACAGATCCATCGGTATTAGATCCTGGTTCTGGAATAAGAACCAAATCAATCGGGTAGGGTCATTCAGATCCATCTAATTGGACCTACCACGTTGGCAACCCTAGTTGGCGTTTTACATATCAGATTGGGTTAGGGTTGACCTCAACCTGACCTAATCCAATTGGTGCTCACCCAATGTGCCTACTACTATTAGTACTAGAGATGCAGACTTGGGAAAGAGGCAAAGAGCACCAAACTCCCTTGGTCCCTTAAAAAAAAAGGGAAAATTCCTGATTAGTACCTTGTACTTTGGGCCTAGTGCCACTTTGGTCCCCAAATTTTAAAATGCGACAATTCAGTACCCATACATTTAAAACGTGACAATCCAGTACTAGCAGCTAACCAATTTTTAAGTGACATTTGTAAAAGATACAAATGCCCTTCATGTATTACTTAATTTTCTTTATCAAGTATCTAAACATTGACAAAAAATTAAAGTCCCAATCCTTACATTTTCCATCCAAGAAAGTTGGAATCATGTTTGGATGGGTATTTTGGTGATCCTAACTTTCTTAAACAGAAGAGATAAGGATTTAAAATTGTTAATTTTTGTTCAATATTTGGATGATCGATAAAGATGACACTCAAAGTACATTTGTGTCTTTTTTAAATGCCACTTAACACCTGATTATCAACTAATTAACGGCAGATAATCATCGATTGTCATGTTTCGAAAGGTTGGATAATGAATTGTTGCATTTTAAAGGAACCAAAGTGACATAGGCAGCAAAGTACAGGTACTGACCCGAAATTTTCCCCCCAAAAAAAACTCACCGCTTCTGTGAGTTATTTCCTGGATCTCCATTTGGTGCCTTCGACGCTCAAAGGTTAGTCGATCCCTTGCTTCTCTTTCCCTAGAATTTCACAATCGTATACATCTTTGCACGGATTTTCAATTTCTCCTTTTCATCTTATGTTTCTCAATCTCGCATAGGATTAAGTATCACCGGATAGTCGAATAACACAGTAGTTATGATATGAACATGGCGGAAGATTGTTTTTCTTTCCAAATCTAGATATTCTTTGTTTTCCTTACTTCTTAATAATCTTTTCAGCAACTCAACTGATTAGAGGGCAAAGAAATAGGAGTTGGGTATGGTTGGATTTCTAAGATTTCGTGTTTCGTTGTCTGCAATACTCTCTAGAAGATCTCCAACTCAAGACCTTGGTCAAGGTCTTGACTTGGGTAAATTTTCTCATTTTGGATTGAAGCTGCGTTTTGGTTCTTCAGACCCATCTTCTACTTTGGTGCCGAAAACTGTGGGAAACAATGTTGGTATCTTCTGGGACTTGGATAACAAGCCACCCAACTCATTTCCTCCTTACGAGGCCGCTGTTAAACTTAGGACTGCGGCATCTGCATTTGGCATTATCCGATATATGGTTGCTTATGCCAATCGCCATGCCTTTAGTTATGTCCCACCTGTAGTTAGAGAGCAAAGGAAAGAGAGGAAGGCGCTGGATCAGTTAGAGAAAAAAGGAATAATTATGCCTGCTGAGCCGTACTTATGTCGAGTCTGTGGCAGGAAATTCTATACGAATGTCAAGCTCGTTAATCACTTCAAGCAACTTCATGAACGGGAACAGATGAAACGGATGAATAGGTTGGAGTCTGCAAGAGGAAAGCAGAGGGTAAAGTTGGTTGCCAAGTTTTCCATGAAGATGGAGAAGTATAAAAAAGCTGTCAGGGATGTTTTAACTCCGAAGGTTGGATATGGTCTTGCTGATGAGCTCAAGAGGGCAGGTTTTTGGGTTCAGACTGTGTCGGATAAGCCTCAAGCAGCGGATATTGCATTAAGAAATCGTATGGTGGAAATGATGGACAAGAGACGGGTAGAGTGTTTGGTTCTTGTTTCAGATGATTCTGATTTTCTGGATGTTTTGAGAGAAGCAAGATTGAGATGTCTGAAGACAGTTGTTGTAGGGGATAACAACAATGGAGATCTCAAGAGATGTGCTGATGTGGGGTTTTCATGGAAGGAAGTCCTGCTGGGGAAGGCTAAAAAAGAGGCTTCATCAGTATTGGGGAAGTGGAAGGATCGTGATGTCCTGAAGAGACTTGAGTGGACATACAAACCAGGATTGGAGAGAAAGGAATATGATTTTGATGCCTCCGAATATGAGAGCGAGGATGGGGACATTGAAGAAAATCTCTCTATGGAAGTTGAGGATCTGGTTGAGAAGGAAGATGTGAGGCCTTGGTGGGAACTAGTCTCTGATACTGAAGATACGGCTGGGAAATTGTTTAAATAATTGGTTCCTGTCATGTGCACTAAAAGGGTATTTTTAGCTTGGTAAAACTCACTTATGTTACCAGGTCTTTGTGTCACTTTAATTTTATGAAGGTCCAAAACCTTGTAATTCCCATTCTTTTAAGTAAACAGGGAAAGCTATGAGCTATTTAATTTAAGGAACCGTTCTTTGTCTTACTTTTGGCTATTCAAGTTAGAGGCAAAATTTACTAGACATCTACTAGAATAAGGTTTTTGTTTTATTTCCTTATTCACTCTTTTGTGAAAATAGTTATGAGCTATTTAAGGCAACATTTCAGTCTTACTTTTGGCTATTCAAATGAGAGAAGTTCTATCTGCAAACATCTGCTACTTTCTTTTTCCACTCTTTTTCATCTAACGCAGATAGACCCTCTCTCTCTCTCTCTCTCTCTCTCACACACACACACACGCGCGCGCGCGCGCGTGCGCACGCCCACACACACACACACACTTTATCTCTCTCCCTTTGATTTTTTTTAAACATATTCTCATACCTCACCTCTTGCTCATAACACATCATATATGCAGAAGCTTTATTGAATGCATGTGATGATCTGCCTTTTTTAAAGTACATTAGTGGTTTTGATTATCCAGTTAGTATGTTCTAGTGCTTTCTTGCCCATTTTTTTAAACCTATGGGTTGAATGAAGTATTTAGTAGGAAGACCACATAACAACTTCAAGTATGATGGGGAGGAACATGACCTAATGTGGCAGATACATAAATGGAGCCAGTTCACCTCTCTCTCTCTCTCACACACACACACACATACACACATACACACACAAACTGATCTATTTCTGTTTCTATAGTTCAAAGGTTGCCTCAGGAAAGAAAGAAAAGAAGTATATTATCAAGTTACTTTAAGACCTTAGAGGGTTAGAATAATGAACTAATTTACATAACTTTTTTTCTTTGAAAGGTAAATAAAATGATTGTATTACTGAAAGGGAGAGAACTCCCAATAGATGCAACAAAAGGCCCTTTAAGAAAAAGGAAAAGCTCCTTAGGGGGTTAGAATAATTACAGCTTGTGCCACTATCCTGCATGGAAGTTATCTTGACAAGAATGAAATACATTCTGCAAATAAAGTTGATTACTTCAGGGAGAAAATTTGATGGTTTTGAACCAAACCTTTTCTTTCTTTGAGGACAGGTCTGCTTTGCTATGGTGAGCCTCTAATGTTGCCAAATAGCAGATGATGACAACAATCAGATTACAACTGTTTTTTCAGTGAACTACTGGTTTAATGCTAATGGTATAACTGCTCGGTGGCAAAGTTGCAATAATTGCTAGTTTTAACAATACCCCATACAGAGCAAAGAATATCTTCCCACCTAATAACCCTGAAAAAAGTATATACTCTGTTATTGGTGAGCTACATATTGCAATTAACAAAAAGATTGTATAATTCTGACATTAACTTGATGGTGATTGATCTTTGCTTAGTGAAAAATCTCTAAAATTTCTCTTGTTGTCAACAATAACCTTTGCTTTTTTTTTTTGTTTGTTTTAGCTACTTTCTGGCCCACACCTAGGGCAAAGTCCTTATTTACTTGACTTCCATTCCTCTTGTCGGGCGATGGAATCTGGCAGACTCCTAGAATAAACTGTTAGTTATGAGAGCTTCTGGTGGATGGCGTCGTTCTCTTTTCTGTTTGCCCCTCATTTTCTTCATTACTTACTTATTCCCAGGTGATTGGTCCTCTTCTTGCATTCCCTCTGTTATTGAACTTTCCTTCTATTCTGCCATTAGCTGGATCTGAAGAAAGGTTTTTGCTGCATTTCTTAGTTTTGGAACTGCACCAATATTCAAATATAGAAGGGCTTCCCAGAAAACATAACAAGAAATTTGATCATCTGGTTCTTGGGCCTGCTGCTGGTCAAGGCTTGCATGACCGTTTGCAATGTCAAGGTACTTATTTACTTTAAGAAGATTATAATGTTGCTTACAATGCATTTAAGATCTTTGTCTTTGATAATATTGAATTATTCATTTGAACAGTTCCAGTAATATCCATCATTGTTTGCAGTTCAGTTCTCCATGTGAGTAGGTAATTTCTAAAGATAATTTTATTGGTACACCTGCTGATTAGACTATACCTTTTGGACTCTAATTCCTTTCACATTTTGTTTGTTCTATTGTATTTCTGTAAAAAAATTATTTAGCTTGATGTCTATTCCTTGGGATGCCTTTCTTAGAGGTTGGCAAATTTGCTTCTGGATGTAGCTGAGGAAACCATATAATATAATTGAGACTGATTATTGATGCTAACTAGCTCAAAGAGAACTTATTCTGGGAGAAAGAGATGAAGCTGTGTGATTGAAGGCTGATATGTTGGAAAATTACCATGTTTTGGGAAGCTTGAGATCAAGCCTCATGCCATAGAGTATAGCAATCCTGTTACTTTATTGATTCCATAATTTCCTATGTCAACAAGGGCAGGGCTTTATTTTGGTATTTTTAGAAACCTTATGCAGCAAACTATCCACAGAATCACCTTTGTCCTATCTGATTGCCTTTAAAGAATCTCCTTCTATCAAAAAGAGAAATGAGACCCTAGACTCCCTAGACTTAGCAATCATAAAGACAAATAGGAATGACATGACATCAGCTCAAAGGAATCACTCTATCCAATGGTCTGATAGTCTGGTTTCCTCATAGAAGTGACATTAGTAGTTATCAACTGTTTATTCCTTAGAGGCAAGATGTTTCTAAGTAGCTCTTATTTTGCATTCTAATAGTAGAGTATAAGTTGCCAACTTCCATATTGTATGCAAATCACCGGCCTCTTTACTAAATACTAATATGCACTTCAGGTTGAAAGCAGATTATCTCTTTTCCCATTTTCTATTGGCTGCTGTAGGTGCTACTCCATCCTGAACTTCGAATATGATACCATTCTACCATAGGGTGACTCCATCCAAAATTTGTTTCTCTACAGGAGCTACTGCTTGATGCAGTGATAAAACCTCTGAGGTTGCCAAGCTTGAGAGTGTAGGTTCATATCTTAGAGTTGACATTTTAGGTTAGGTCTCTGTCCAGTCCACCCTACCAAGATCATAGATAGCAAGGATCACATCAGCATTGGGTAATGGCTTTTTATGTGGTGATACTCTATCCCCTGGAAACATAGGTTGGTGAATATTTTGTATTATAGAGTCTTTAGGAGACTTTGTTTTGTGTCTCCTTTATCTCAATCCATTTTTACTAGGCGCTTCATCGCTATTTTTTTTTCCATTGCAACCAACTCCACCCTTTCTCCTTGTTTCAAACAAATAGGCTTCTCTTACATGGCAAAGAAAAAATAGTGTCTTTTATCCTTGACTTTGGTTGATAGCGAAAAATTATAATTCAGTAAAAGGTATGGAGCTTACACGGTCAAGGCCCTCAAGGAGACAAGGACACAAAAACAAATCCCTTTGGTTGACTATCAGATCGGTAGCATGAATTGGGCACATCAACACTCTGCATGGCTAGAGAAGGGGTAACTTTCCAGGAAGCAATTCTGAATGGGACCATCCAAGAACATATTCTTCTATTAACTATTTTTTTTTTTTATTCTTTTGAGGCTCTTTCTGTAACTTATGGCTGGCTTACCCAAGTTGGGTGGCTAGGTGAGGTGATTAGGAGTTAAAGAGTTCAGAATTTGTCACTTGGTATTTGTATTCACATGTTTTTATCTTACAGATGCCATATCCTTTCTTCTATTCCTTTTTCTTGGGGACACATAACTGCAAATCCCATTCTGCTGCTGTATTATCAATTTTATTTATGTGCACAATCTTAAATGTACTTTCTTTGTTGCTTCTGTTGCAGGTCTCAAAGCTTTAAACAAGACCCATTTTTCTACCTTGTCTAACATTTCCAATTTCCAGGACACCATATCATTTGTCACTGTTTTTACTGTCTATAACACTACTCTCCCTGCACGTGTTAATGATAGATCATCTAACTTGGTGACTGTTGGGAACATTTCATATGATAAAGTGGAGAGGTCGATGGCTATTTTAGATGTCTTCATCAATTTCATCCAGGTAATCTACTATTTGAACTAAATGGTAAAATACAGTTGCGTTTTACCTACAAGAAAAAAAAACAGTCAAAGATTGAAGCCCCACCCATTATGATTATCAAATCTCAAGCTTCCATACAACAGGAAAGCAAGTCACCATTAGGGTCTAAATGATTACTTGGATATTTTAACATAAAAGGAAGTAGGATTTTGTTCTCGTCATGTATTGATAAATGGTAACTTACTGGATAATATAATTGTCTGTTTGGAATCTAATAAGAGCAAATTAAAGAACAAGAGAGTTTGTTAGAATTTTCCATATCATGTTGGACATTCAGTAATTAGCATCACTATCTGTTTTTTCGAAAATAATTAGCCCAAACTGTATTGGATTAAGAAATGAGTTACTATTATGAGTTCATAATTTATTGCATTTTATCATGATTAATAATTAAATTATGAGATGATAAAAGACTTGCATTTTTCTAATACTTTAGAACTTTAACTCAGCAACTAAAAATATCCAACATGCAGGGAAAATATTCCAATCACTTTTATTTGGTTAGTAAAAATCATCCTTATCTCTCCCTTATTATGGATTGTTGAACCAAGATAGTGGAAGAGGTCACATTAAAGTTATCTCTGCAGTGTAATCAGCTTCTCAGTGTTTTCCCCTGTGCAATTTATTTTTGAACAGGGCCTTGTATATTCTGTTCAGTTTCCTATAATGCATTACTTTTTCTCAAAAAAAATAAAAAAATCTCACCTCTAATCCTAACTGTACCCTGATTTGTATTCCTATCATTATTGAGTTTACATTGCATATATTTTGTTTTAGTCCTACTTCTTTTAAAGCCTCTTGTTCCTAAGGTATTTCTCCACAAACCTAATTTTTCATTTAATCTTTTGCTAGTTTCATCAATTAATGTTATGCCATCAGCAAACACCATAGGACGTCCTACTGAATATGCTTACTTAAAAAGTGTTTTTTTTTTTTTTACTTTTGAGTTTTTTTTTTCTTTATTTTAATGATATCTTTTAGAAACCCCCTAGATCTGATAAGTTTTGGATTAGGGTGGTCATTTCTAGCTTGGCCTGGCTTGCAATTTATGTTATGTTATATATTATTATATTATTATCAAGTATAGCGTAAATTCTATGCATATATTATATGTTATATAATATAAAATATTATATATATACTATTTTATATTTAAAGACAGGCCCAAAGCCTGGCCTGGCCCATGATCATCCCTAATTTGGATTAAGTTTTTATAATTGGATCAGAATTGGATGTAGCTGGAGCTGATCTGAATCCGACCTGGTTTCAACAGTAACCATAGGTTCTATAAATATATTGGATTTCAAACCCATGTTTGGAATACTTTTTTTTTTTTTTTGGGGGGGGGGCTTCTTTTTGTACTTGTTTTGTTAAAGAAGCATGTTTTCAAATAAGCTCTTATATAGAGCAAATATTTTTGCAGATAATCCAAACTTGCATGAAACTAAAAAAATGATTTATACAGTATAACCATTTAAGTCATGGTTCTACAGAAGTTGGGAACTGATTCAAGTCCTTACTCTTTTCATCCATTATATACTTCTTGCAGGTGTCAATGCCACAAAGTAACATAATTATCCTGACTGATCCAGCTTCTAAGCTTCCAGTACACAGAAATAGAGTCAGTGTACTTCCTATTGAAGGTGAATATTCGCGGGGCAAACTGATGCTTCAAAGAATCAGGTCTTACATTGTAAGAGCAGATTGCATCTATATATGACTGATAAATTTCTTTTTTTAATCAACAATGCTAGCTGTTTTTCTTCAGATATTTTCAGCTAGTTGATTCTTTTGTTATTTGGTTCAGAAAATGTTTTTCCATGTGAAGTTTTGACTGCAGTGTCAGTGTGTCACATGCATAAATGCTTTATGAAAATGCTTTCTGTTAATTAAAAATCAATAAACTAATATGCTACTTATCAAAGAAAAATATAGTGATGCAATATCACGTGAATAACCATATTTCTTGGTTAAATGTCTCAACCAGCCGACTGTTTGTTTCTTGTTGTGATTCTAACCATTCATACATACTATGAATCTCCTGTTTATGCAGGACTTCTTACAAAGAAGGCTTGAGGAATATTCTCAAAGGCAGGATCATGTTAATCATTACATATTCACTGATTCGGATGTGGCAGTGGTTGGTAACCTGGGACAGATATTCCACAACCATCCGGATTTTCATTTGGCTCTCACATTCCGGAATAACAAAGATCAACCTCTGAATTCAGGATTTATTGCAGTAAAGGGCACACCCGACGGAATTCTAAGGTTGGCGAATTTCGTTGCTTGCATCCAATGTTTCTTTTTTCTGAGATATGGGTAAAGGTCTATATGGGAATTCAGAGTGCATATGTTGTTTGCAGAGCAAAGGCATTCTTACAAGTAGTGCTGGAAACTTACAGTACCAAATACATGGAAGCTTCAAGAATGCTTGGAGACCAGTTAGCCCTAGCTTGGGTTGTGAAGTCTCATCCTTCATTTGATGTGAGGAGATTTTCTAGACCACAAGCATTTATGGAAGAAATTCATGGGGCATCACTGCTGTTTTTACCATGTGCAGTATACAACTGGACACCACCTGAGGGTGCTGGGCAATTTCATGGGATGCCTTTGGATGTTAAGGTGAAAGTCCTTTTTTATTGTAATTTTCTTTAGGCATACCCTGTTAACTGGAATCAGCATAATCACCATCTTTTTTTTTTTTAATTTTTTTGATGATTAAATGGATAAATTTTCAGTCTGAGACCAAAGGGGGAAAAGCCCATTTGGTTCTGAATTTTCACATAAAGGATCTTATCTCCTTGATATTCTAAACCACATAAAAGCTATGTTACCTAAATGGCAAGGACAAAGTTGGATACGGTGTTGGGTATGGAATTTACATTAAAAATTGAAGTATCCAACATGATACTGCACCTTTGTACAGGCACCCTAGTGTTGCCTTTGCATATACACCTACATCTATAAAATGACAGGAGGACCAAGAAAACTGACAGAATTTTCTTTATTTGCACTAAAAGGGGGCATGACCCTGAAACATGACGCCAACTCATTCCTTTGATTGGGTACAGGTTGTTCATTTCAAGGGATCGAGGAAGAGGCTGATGCTTGAATCGTGGAACTTCTTCAATTCAACTGCCTGCTCTGGCATTGCAGATATGTTGTGCCTTATCTTAAAAAGTGGAAGAACAAAGTACGACTTTTAAATATAAGCTTCACTCTCTGGTTCTAGTTCCCTATCCTTTGACTTTTAAATATAAGCTTCACTCTCTGGTTCTAGTTCCCTATCCTTGTACAATTCATGATTGGGCTTCTCTCTCGTTCAATTCCTGAAGGAGCTGCTTCATGATAAGCTTTAATTCCAGGATAACCTGTATCCAACCAGTCAATGGAGTCCCTCAGTGCTTGATTTTGACTATTTTGTTATTAGTCGGATGAATTTACCAGGGGGTATGTGAGTACAAAAGGATTTAACAAAATCCAAGAAGGGAGAAAAGGTAAAACAGTAATGGATTTTTGGATATCATTTTGCAGCTGCATCATTATGTTCATATCTATATCCTTGAAGCCTCAAGCCCTTAACTAATTGCCTTGTTTCCGTCATTGAGTATTGAATCTGTAATTGTAATATGTTTCTTTACAGATGGAATCCAGCTATATGAGCTGCCTTTTTTTGTTGTTGAGATATCTGATTTTCTCCTCGCAAAATTGATCCTCAGCCGAACATTGGGAGCATCTCTCCATGAATTTAAAGCATGCGGAGATGTTCCCCATGTGCAAACACATCTGCATTCCCTCTCCGATAATGGCAATGGTCAATAGCATAATTATTTTTCTTTTGGGAAAATTTATTCTGCCGGAAGGACATGATACCGGGAACCGGAAGAACTTTGATCAATCAAACCCCCCCATGAATTTTGATAAATACCACTTCATTGGTTTCCTGTAGTCTCAGTTTGGAAAGAATACAGTTACAAATATGTACAGTACAAATATATACAAACGGAGCTTTAATTTGAAATTTGACAATTAGAATTAAGAAATGATTCAAGTCTTTTCTTTTTCTTGTTTTGGGTATATAGAAGCGAAAGAAAAGATAAGTCTTAGAAGAAAATAAAAATGTTTCCTAGCAAAGAAATACAAAGAAGAGATAAAAATGAATACTATTGGCCCGTTGATTCCACTGTCATTAGATATGCTCATGGTTCGGTTAATCAATCGTGGGCTTTTTTCTTCAAACCTAACCGGTGGCATTGGTTTTTGGAAAAATAGTAACCGAAACTGAATAGAAGTTGATCAGTTTGGTTAATCGCGGTTTATTAGTTTTTTTTATTTTCATTATATTATATATAATAAATAGTATATTATAAATATATATAATATATATAAATATAAGTATATCGGTTGGTTCGGTTAACTACCTGTTTTTTATATTGGTTAACCAAAGCTGAATTGGTACCTTTAGTTATTCTAAAATATTGAACCAGTTGGTTCGGTTTTTTGGTTTTTCTTGTTCACCCGTCATCTAGAGCCCCTTCAATTCTAAGATCCCATGACAAACTTGTGGAATTGGGCATTTTTGCTCATTTAACCCTTTTTTGGAGTATGTGTGTGTGGTATTACCTTTGCTAATCTAAGGTTGTATTTAGTTCCACTAATTTCAGGCTCATACATTTGGAGAGGTAATGGCATTTTTCTGTCAAAATGCTTGTATGAAACTTAGGTTGTTACTTGTCCTCACTAGGTGTCGAATAAGTGTTTTGAGCAATAGTGTTTGACATTGGTATGGCTACCTAAAATGTTTAAATGAATTGTTTACAACTTTATATTTTATGTGCCCATCTCCCAATTATGCTGATTTTCATGGTGATTTTTTTTAATAATAATTGGGTCATTATTACACATAGATTAACATCTAAATGATAGGTCCAAAATATTGAAACATATTCTTGTATCGGCTGATACGAACATGCACCAAACAATGGGAGTTGGGTTATTTCAACCATTTGGATAGTTAATTTTTAAGTTAAATGACTTGTCGATCTATCAAATCAAAATAATAAATAAAACATTGTTTTGGTTAAAAAAAGAGTTAATGTTGGAAAAATGGGGTCACGGAAACTTGGAGAAGTTTTGAGGTATGCTTAAAGATATTATCTTTAGAATGTTATTTGTCCTTACTCATATTTACTGAGTTTGTTGTTGGGTTACAAGTACATTTGTTCCCAAGATACAAAAGAACCTTGGGCGAAAATTCGTAACCAACAAAGTTGAATAGTCTCTAAAGAAACCCTCTGTGAGATAGTAGTAGATCGTATAGAAAGAGAGACAAGAGTGATTTTCGAAAAGCTAATGTGTGAATTTGCTTGATTCACGCTCCTTAAATAACTTTCAAAAGAGTCATGGAGCAGAGGAAGGTGTTGGTTCAAAAAAGACTCATTAAACAATCACAATTTCAAACATTGTGACTGTTAAAAAGGTAGTTAACAGTTCATGACTATTAAGTTTGAATAGTGCCTCTTAATCACACCTAATCGAATTGTGACCGTTGAAACATCAACAGTCAGCCTTGCACCAAAAGTTAAAGACGCCCTTCACGAGCAAAATGCACCTCTAAAGCGCCTCGTTGTGTCACACACACGCGCATGCATTATACGGTAGCAAGCCTCCATACTCTACTCTTTATTTTTAAAGAGTGTAAATAAGTTCCTATTTAAAAACTCAAAACAAGTTTTATAATTTCCCAATGTGGGACAAGTTGAAAATTGGTTTTAATAAGAGAAAAAAACTATTTTTCAGGACATGTGTGCATATGCTTTTTTTATGTAATTGATGAATCAAACCCCATTGAATTTAATCTCTAATGAGATCCAACATGGGGTTTATGGACATTCGATGCCAATTAAGCGCCTAGTCATAAGACTGTTTCTTCAAATGAGCAACCAATGAAGAAAATATCAATTTGATGTTTCCTCTGATACCCCTAGTTTATGTTTCTAGTAGGAAATAAACCCAACTCAATAATGAGTCGAGTTTGGCCCAATAATATTATACATATAATAAAAAATATAATATATATTATATAGTAATAAAATTAGTAATGAAAAAAGAACCATATGCATATATATTATAACATATAAAATATTATATAGTATATAATATATTATAAAATATCTATCCAAATCGAGTTTTGGGCTTTATATAGGGTTGGGTTCAGGCTCACCTCAATCATTTTATGTTCACAAAGAGGCAAAGTTCGACTTGAATCCAGCCCAACTTGGCCCTGTGAACAAGTCTAAGTAACCATTTCGTGTTGTGGGCTTGAGGCTTTGGATTTTGGAAGGTGGAGCTCATCCAAAAGGCCTATCCATCCAATGGTGCCACTGCTTTGGTTGAGCTATTTTCATCATGGTTTTCAAAAATCAGATTGGACTGGACGGTCGGACAAAAAAAACTGGGAATCAGTTAGGTAATTGGTTCCATTTTTCCCCAAAATCGGATTTTTGCCAAAAACTGTTGATTTTGGTCAGCAAACCGTTGACCTGGGCAGTTAACCGTTCAAACCGTTTTTTATCATTTTTATTTATTTATTTATTTTTTTATATCTTTGTCAGAACAGGACGATCGTTCAGTTTGAAGGGTTAGACTATTTGACCTAGGAACCGGACCCTAACCGGTTCGCTCTCTGGGTTGGTTTTAAAAACCTTGGTTTTCACTGAGATGCTTTGGATAAGTTATTAAGTGCACATGTGTTTGGTGAAAAACTCAGATAACCAAAAACAGCTTAGTCGTTGTAGCTCAATCAATGTAGAAGCCCTCCCAAATAAGCCATACAAATTTCAATAGAAAGCACTTTTTGGGCCTACGTAGCCAAATTTCTCCCCGTTATTGTCTAGCCAGCTATCTTGGACTTACATCAAGCTTGCACAAAATGCGAGTCGGGCCTAAGCTAAGCAAGCCCTAGTCCCACCAAACCCAGCTCAACCCCAAAAAATGTTTATATATGTGTAATATGTAATATAATCTATATCTATCTATAAAAAAAGAGGAATGTATGGAGGCCAAGGGTCTTCACCAATCACCACAACACTCACACATAGTCATCATTGTTCTCATTTATCATGTGTGGATTTTCATTCTTGAAATACCATAATTACCCTTTTATCATTAGTAGTTACATAATTTCTCTCCACTTATTGTGATCTTTAAAATCTAACCAATCTTTCTTTTTAGTGTTTTTTTTTTTTGGTGACTTTCTTGCAAATTTTCATTAAATAAGCTATTTCCTCTTAATAATGATTGAACATAGCATAACGAAGGTTTTTCGTTTATTTTGTCATATATACTCCTGTTTTTTCTTCCTATAACTATAATTATAGACCTCAATAGTCTTCTTAAACATTTCTCCTTATCAACATATACATTAATCTGTTCTTTCAACTAAGCTCCGTGTTTAGGAGATCACGATGGAATAGGAATCTATTGCTGCCAAGGTTGGGGTCGAGGGTAATAAGGGAATTTCATTGGCACTTGAAGTTGATGGGTCCGACCTGTGAGCAGGAGAAGAATACACATTAGAGGCCCTAGGTGTTATCCCAAGGGTAGAGACTCCGATGGTCAAGTTAGCCAAGTGACAAAGAGGGGTTAGATTAGGCTTGAGACGAGGGTTCAAAGCTTAGTCCTTAAGAGCTAAGGAAAGTCCTCTTGGGATTCTAAATACAAGAGAACCAGAGAACAAGATGTCTTTACGTTGAGATGGGCACCCCCTTTTATAGCTGACCTTGTCATGGAGTGGTTAGAGCCTTGGAGGCAGTTAGAGATGTGTGGCCACGATTCTATCTGTCTAATGCCATGTGGCGCGATCCGAGGCTTTCCAAGTACACCTACATCAGAATCCTATCACATCTCACCCAAATACATGTATTTCACTTATTTTTAATTATCTTTTTTTTGTGTTTTTATTGCATAAACCATTTTTCTTTCTGCCTTTAGGTAACCAGGAATCAAATAGGAAAGAGCACTTCAACCCCAATTCTCTGATTCATTAATTGTTTATCTGCATTGTAAAAGAAAAGATTTTACCTTTGGTGTAATTGCTTTCTATTGTTGATTTAACTATGAACCGATGACCACTATCAGGGTGTTTGGTTCCATGGGCGTTTATTCAATAAACACTGCTACATAGGCGCCACTTAAGCAGTTCCACTCTCATGCTCTTCCGTACGTATCGAAATAGCAAAAGTGGACTTTGGTTTTTATGCATGCCTACTGTTTGGGGAAGTTAGTTTTTAAGCTTCCTTAAACGGTTAGATGTTTTTTCACTGTTATGCTGATGTGGTGCTTAATGGTGCCTAATCGTCATAAACAATTGTAATTATTACCTTTCTCGGTTTTACAAACAAATAAAGTACAAACTTTGAATGAAAAAACGTAAACGAAACCAAACACATACTATGTTGTTAAAAAATCAGCGATGCATGATACGTTCTTGTGTTGTGTTTTTCTTCATAAGCCAGTTTGTCAATTCAACCCCAATTATGATGTTGTCATTGCAATTCATTAGTTTCTGCTGCAATGAACTCCTAAGCAACCATCTTATTATGAAAGTAAAAGAACATAGACTCTGTTTTGTTTCCATTCAGCCCCATTTGCTTGCCAAGCCATCGGAGTTTATCATGGTTTTGAAAATCGGACTGGATTGGACCATCAAACTGGTTGACTTTGAAACCGATCAGACAATTGGTTTCGTTTTCACCCTAAAATCACTCTTGGGCCAAAAACCATTGATTTGGTCAAAGACCCATTGATCCAAGTGATTGAAATGTCGACCCAGATAACAATTTTTTATTGTTTTTTGTTTAATTTTAATTATTTTATTTTTAAATCAAAATGGGCTATTTGTTCAAACTGGACGATTGGACTATTAGACTTAAGAACCGATCCCCAAAGCGGTTCCATGTCTGATTCAGTTTTTAAAACTTTGGTATTTAGATTCATTATTCATTATATAAATGTATGTGATTCCATGATATTGTTGTCATGACCAAAATTATTTGTTGGTGATAATGATAGACTTGTATGACGAAAGAGGAGAAGGAACTAGTATGGAAAAAAATGAAATTATGGAAAATAATGGTGTTGAAGTTCTTCCCAAATGCTTCAAAACCAACCATTTGTGTCAGAAAAAAGATATCATTAATGTATAACCTATGCTTTTCTAATGGGGTGAAGAAGTAGAGTTAAACCAGTTTCCCTATACTTCTTTTGGTTGACCCATACACTATATGAGTGCATGCTAAATTGGTCGTTCAAACCCACGTTTAACAACTATTATTAATTAATTTCATAGTTCATTAATTATAATTATTATAAGTCATAATACTATAATTAATTAATATTAATTGAATACAATGATCATATTTGACTTGCAAAGCCAAAACTGCCACAGGAAAGCTCTCCTAAACGAGACCCTATGCCAATTATGGTTTTCAAAATCGGACCGGAAAAACTGGGAATCGATCACCTGATCGGTTCCATTTTCCTCTAAAATCGCTTTTCCCCCAAAACTGTTGATTTTGGTCAGCAAACCGTTGAACCGGCCAGTTAACTGTTTGAACGATTCTGGTAACGGGGCCCCTGACTGGTTTGGTCACCGATTCGTTTTTAAAAACCATGATGCCAACAAAACTTCTTCCAATAGCTTTGTCAAACAAGTTGTGGTCAAGGTTCACAATATCAACATGTATTGGTCCATATCAGTACATATCATTTTGGGAGCTCCCCAATACACCCCTACAAAGGGTGTATTGGGATTTTGATTGATTTAGGGGCGGAGGAGCCTTAAACCACCCCCCCTAAATCGATTTAAAAAAAAAGAAGAAAAAGAACACTATCAATATAGCCCGATACGCCTCTATCGGCGTATCAGGCGTATCGATATTTAGAACATTGGTTGTGGTTTGGTTCGTTTTTCGGATTTTGAAGAGGGGAAGTCAATCAATGGGATTGTGCCATTGTGGTTCCTATTGATTGCTTTTCTCATGCTTGTTTTTCACATTCGTGTAGATCTATGAAAGATAGGTATCACTTACTTGACCTAGAGGTGAGCATTATTCAGTTAAACTGAAAAATCGAACTGGAAATTTCAATTTCAATATTTTTGGTTCGATTTTTCGAGTTTGGCTAATAATTCAGTTTTCAAATATTTTGATCCCAGTTTCAATTTTTAGAATTAGAAGTTTGGTTAACTAGATAAACCGAATTAACCAAAATTTATTATATAATATGTAATATATAATATATAAAATACAACATATAATATATAAAATATAAAATATAAAATATAACATATAATATATATATATATATATTAATATATTGGGAAAATTCCCAATTAGTACCCTATACTTTGGGCCTAGACTACCTAATGTCACTTTGGTTCCCGAACTTTAAAATGTGACAATTTAGTACTTGAACTTTCAAAACGTGTCAATCCAGTACCTACCGTTAATCGTCTATTAACCAACCGTTAAGTGGCATTTGAAAAATACACAAATGCCCTTCGAATGTCGTTTAATTTTCTTTATTAACCATCCAACCATTGACAAAAAATTAACAGTCCCAAATCCTCTCTTCTTCTATTCAAGAAAGTTGGGGTCACGTCGAATATTCTAGACCCAAACTTTCTTGAATAAAAGAGGCAAGGATTTATGACTGTTAATTTTTTGTCAACGTTTGAATGGTTGATAAAGAAAATTAGATGACACTCGGAGGGCATTTGTGTCTTTTTCAAATGCCATATAACGGTAGGTATTGGATTGATACATTTTGAAAGTTCGGGTATGGAATTATTGCATTTTAAAGTTCGGGGACCAAAGTGGCACTAGGCCCAAAGTACAGGGTACTAATCAGGAATTTTCCCTAATATATAATATAATGAAATTTGATTTCATAATATATATTATAATGTTATAATTAATATATAAATATATAATATAGTATATGTATTATTAAAATTCAGCTTTAATTGAAATAACCAAAAAATTTGGTTTCAATTATTTTGGTTTTCTATAATTCGGTTATTATTTTTAAGTTTTTTTTTTTAATTTTGAGTTTATTTTGGTTGGTTTTTAATTGAATAAACTGAATGCTTACCCTTACCTGATCCATCTCCGAGGTGGGTAAGTAACTTCCCCACTTGAGAGAAAAGTTATAAAACATATTAGAACAATTTTGCTCATTTTAACAATAACTTTTTTATGAATAAAAGAATCACTATATCAAGGTTTTTAAAATTGGACCAAACAGAGAACCGTTATGGGGTCTGACTCCTGGGCCAAATGGTCCAACCGTCTAGTCTGAACGGACGACCCATTCTAACAAAAAAAATTTAAAAATTAAAGAAAAGGCCAAAATTGTTCTCGGGTCGAATAGTTCGACGGTTCATTCGCCTAGGTCAATGGTAAAACAGAACCAGTCAGGTGACCGGTTCTTGATTTTTCCAGTCTGATCTGGTTCGGCTTTAAAACATTTGCCTGTATAATTTACTTAAAAATCAAATGAACACAGGTAAATTCAATTATCCGGATAAATATCTACTGAAAAAACACTTAGTCATATAAGTGAATTTATCCAAATAATAGCTTTCAAAATAATCAAACGGGGGTGCATGCATGTAAACCTAAAGCCCTCTACTCTACCTTCCTTTCTTCGCTTCGTTGAGACTAGACTAAAAAGAGTGCATCAATTGGGAAGAACAGGACCTCATCCATAATGAATGGCTGAATGGTGAATGCAAGCAAAACGGAACTTCAAAAATACACTTGCACTACCCTGGTCTGGTCTGGCCAGCCTAACATTGGACAGATCTAAACCTGCAACCAAACACGTAAAAAGACTAGGGTTTCTAGGTCAGGCTGTCCAATACTCCAATTCCTTCAATTTAGGGCTCAGTCGCAGGCCTAGTTCGCGTATGGCCCAGCCCATTGAGAACCCCTAGTTCCATTTATATATATAACTAGGGTTTTTTATTAGGGTTCTCTTGCTCTTTTAAGAGGAGATAGAGAACCACCGCCGGTCGTTCGCTCCCGCCATTTCGGTCAGTTCAGATCTCTTTCTCTTTCTCTTTCTCCCTCTCTCTAGCTAACAGACGAAGATCATTCCTTCGTTCATTTGAAGCTTTCTTACTGTTGTTTAAAATTTGTCTTTTCTCATTACTGATGAATGGGTGACCTTAAAGAACAACAATACCCAAAAAGCTTCTAGTACTGTAGATTTCTTTGTTTAATTTCAACGTTATTTTTTGAAACGGACGGATGATTTGATTGCCATATTCGCAGAGAACCAGCAGCAGCGAACGAGCTGAATCATGGCGTACGCAGCGATGAAGCCCACTAAACCTGGTTTGGAGGAACCCCAGGAGCAGGTTCACCGCATCAGGATCACTCTCTCCTCAAAGAACGTCAAGAATCTTGAGAAAGGTCTTTGCCCTTTCAATCTGATTAGAATCATATATGAATTAAATAATTTTGTTTAATACAAGAACCGCGTTCAGATCTCTCACGGGCTATATGTTTCATTTGCAGTTTGTGCGGATCTGGTCCGTGGGGCCAAGGACAAGCGACTGAGAGTTAAGGGCCCAGTGAGAATGCCCACCAAGGTTCTGCACATCACTACTAGGAAGTCCCCTTGTGGTGAAGGTATTCAGCATCCCTAATGAACTGTTTCTCATATTGAAATATGTTTATCTCATTACGTTGAATTTTATTTCTAAAATGCTACGTCCTGGTTTCAAATACATGTCGTTGTTGAGTTGAGAATGTGAACTTGAGGTTGTCTTTGTTCTTACATGGAGTGGTTGTAAGGTGTTTTCATGCACTGCTATTAGAGTTAGGACCTACAAAAATGTTTATATGGAAAAATGCATTCTGCGTTAGGATTTATTATCCGTTTGTATTCTCTTCAGTTTCCTAAATAATTTAATCCTTGTTTTTCAAACTATGACTGTTGATGGTCTGCCTTGATATTTACCATCATATCGTTTTTTCTAGATTTTCTTTCTCCACAGGATATTCCTTCCCAATCAACGGTATGACCATTATTGTCATTAGTCTGTGATTCTTTCAGTTTAAACTTCATTTTCGTCCTCCCACCGGTGTTATCTAAGGTCCTGTGTGTCAGATTCCCATTCTGAATACTCAAAATTTCCTTGTTTCTCTTTAATTTCACTTGATAAGGACTTTTTGTACCACGTCCTAACTATTGGGATCTTATTGAATTGCAAGCTCTAGGGTGCAAATGTTTCTTTCTATTGCTTGCATTATCCAATGATCCCTTCATTACATTTACTGGCATTAGTTGGGATGTATTCCATTTCATTTCTTTTACTAAATTTTGGCTTTCTAGACTTGATCTGGAGCTGGTTGTTCTTTCAGTTGATTCCCCCACAGCTTGTCGTCTTCATGTGTTCAACATATATAGATAGGTAGGTTGTCTATTAATTTGTTGTCATAATTTTCTAAGGCTTATCCCCACTATATGCGGTTGGTACATGTCCTGTGTTGCCATTCTGGTCTGTTTAGTGCCATATCCATTAAATTATGGGCACTTAAATCATTCTTGTTTAATTTTTATGATGCATTTTATTGATTGAAATAGAAGTTATGTAGCAGAAAATTGAAACCAGGGCCTTAACTTTATGCTGTCAGGAATATTTCCTGATGATGGTTCTAGGTATTGAGGAGAAAGAACTCATAGTTTATGATCTAGTAACAAAAACTTAGAAGGATTACACATCAAATATTGTTGGGATGCAGGAATATGAAGGCTTATGCCTTGGCTCTGCCTTATGATAGTTCTTGGTATTGAGGTGAAAGAACTAATAGCTAATGGTCTAGTACGAAAGTCTTTAAAAATTACACATCAAGTAATGTTGGGCTGCAAGATCACGAGGGTTAATGCCCTGGCCATCTCTCATGCCTTGCAACTCAAATCCTCCTATGCGATGCAATGTCAAAGGCTTAAGCCTTGCAATGAAAAAACGAGGCTATTAGGCTATATCCTCCAGGCTAAAATGTTCTCCCTTGTGCCCTGAGGCTATATCCTTTTTAAACAAAACCATAGCAAAATAGCCAACTAAATGGGGTTCTCATTTGAAGGTAGCCACTCCTAAGTAATTCTCTATCTGCATTTGGATCATCATGAGTGAAATTGAACCCCAATCCTGATCAATTACGTGGAGTTGGACTGTCTAATCACATAGGAATTTCAAAATATGCACAAACGCTAAATTGATTAATCTGCTAGTTTCAAAAACCGGTCAAGTACTAAAGTGGCCCAAATGGTGGGGCCCCTTGTCAATTCCAACCTGAGTGTCATTTGACCATGATCTGAATATTGTACAAGCCTAAACTATTAGGACTTGCTGATTGATAACTTTGCACCTTTTGGGGCTATGCTGATGATTTTCGAAGGAAAATAAGGGTCCAACAATGTGTCAAACCCTGCAACACATTATAAGTTGTCTATATATACTCATACCATCCTCTGGAATCAATTTGTGTTGAATTTCAGTAAATTTGATTGGTTGTTTTTCCATTGTCTGATAAATTGTATCTAGGGCTGGGTCCGATTTGGATCAGACCTGGATTAAATTCAGGTATTATATTTCATTAATAAATTAAAGTAAAAAAAAAGATACTGTAATTTATTAATAAAATGAATCAGAAATGACATGATAGTTATTTGTTATTAAATAAAATGAAATAAAAAAAACATACAATGAAACTTGAACCCATTGAATTTGAACCTTTAATGAAAATATGGTATTTAAACGAACTTCATCAAGAAATATTTGTTAACTTTATGTGGGCTTTTGCCTATATGATATTTATGGTTCATCAATAAATAGTTAATGGTAGTGATTGGAAAGGATTTTTAATCTTGTGATTCACAGGTACAAACACATGGGATAGATTTGAGCTCCGTGTACACAAACGGGTTATTGACCTCGTTAGTTCCTCTGAAGTGGTGAAGCAGATCACCTCTATTACCATCGAACCTGGTGTTGAGGTTGAAGTTACAATTGCAGACCCTTGATTATTTGCTTGATTTTTTTTTTGCTTTACCCTTTTTGCTCTGTCCGGTAGTAAATGTAGATGTACTTTCTGTTATATTTTTCAAATTTTAACATGTTGAGAGGGAATTGATCATTTTAAGTTTGATTGAAAGACTGGTCGTCGGTTGCAATGGTAGAATCTCTATATTAGAAATTAAGATTTAGCCAGCTTCCTAGTATTTTTTCATGTTGATTGTTGTGCGAGAGATTATCGTGCTAATAGTGTTGTAGATTAAGGGTCCATTTGTTTCAGTCTGAATCGGAAACGGAATGAAAATCTGTCAGAATTGGAATTGACTATGCCCAATGCCCATTGTTTGGTTCAGATGGGAATTGTATTATGAATTGAAGTAAAAGATGGGGAGGGAATTATAGAATTGGTATGGGCTCCGATTTTAGACCCCTATTTTCACGAACCAAATATGGTCCCCAAGTATTTTTGTGACATTACTTTTATGTGGTTGAGCGCATATTGGAACTTGACCAGCAACCCTTCTCTGGTTTAGCACACCGTTCCCTCTAGAAGATAGGTAATTGAATGGAGGTGCCTGCTAAGGGGAGAAAATGGAGATGGACTTTTTGACTGTAACTCCTGTCTTTCTTTCCCCTCATGAACCGGAAGAAGCCACTGAATGAAGTATAAGTCCATTTATTGATTAATGGTCTTGAAGCGATTTATTAAAGGACAGGTATATTTCGCTAGTATTTTTCAAGATGATATTTGGTTGCAACCGTCTGAAGGCCACAGTGAGAAGCTATCAAATGGATCCCTTCCAAGGGTCTGTTTGTTTTATAGCTGGAATTGGAATTGAAATCCTTGGGAATCAAAATTGGAATGGTTGGGATAATGCCATTCCAGGAGGAATAGAAATGGGATTCTGATTCCGAACCCCTATTCCTGCGAACTAAATGTGGCCTAAAATCTCCATCGGGTAATAAATGATTTAATATATCTCATTCTTCTCCCGCAGTCTATTTCAATTTTACCGTTTTGAGTGGCAACGATGACATTGGCGACTTTAGGTCTCGTCTACTGGGAATGATCCTCCTCAACGTATTTCAAGAGGTCAAGTTGAAGTATAGGCATTTCCAATGCTGGGTGTGCACGTGCAGATTGCCACATTTCTAGGCATTTCCAATGCTGGGTGTGTACGTGCAGATTGTCACATTTACCATGGTCCTTGGCAATAAACCCTTACAATTGCAATTCACCCCATAATTTTCTGATTGACATGGGTTTGACGGTTTTAAGCTATGTCCAGTCCACCTTAGATTTCATAAATTAATTCCTCAAACGTAGTTATCAGTTATCATCACCCCGACCCACCCCTATAAACAGTATCCTGTGAATTGGGATCTTTTCTCCCACTTACACCGACCCGAACTTTTATGTACGATCCCATTATGAATTCTGTGCTAAATGCAAGCGAATACCTACTAAATACATACGTTGAATTAAGAGGCCCTCGTTTTTTTATAGTTTTCCCCAAGTGGGTGCATTCGGTGACGGTGCCCAGATGTACTGGCAAATGGCAAGGGGTGATGAACTGTTTGACAGATGAGGTTGGAAAAAAACCAACCTCACTGAGTAGTTCTCGAATCACATTTTAACTTTTCTTGGCAAATGGCAAGTGTAAGAACTGTTTGACAGATGAGGTTGGAAAAAACCAACCTCAGTTCTCTAACATCAAAACCACATTTGCCTGTAAAGCACAGTCAGCTCCTTTTATGCATTATATGCTTGTTTCATATTCTTCCGTGTTGCGATGTTGGAATAGATATCTTCTGTATGGATTGTGCACCATGCTTTACCCAAAACAGCTGAACAGCTGCTGCCTACGACTTCCAAAATTATGTTAAGTCCATTGTAACTCAGGAAGACAGGCACAATGGAATTGAGGTCTTGATCAGTCCTCGCGATAACCAATCTAAATTTTCAACTTGGCCTGACTAGATTTGAATACAATAATCTACCCATGAATTTAAATATACAAGGCAATAAAAACCAAATAAATTATTTTCTATCTGGAACAGCATGCCTAATATGTACTAGGTGAAAGCTTAACCACATAATACAGATAAATGGTTTTCTATATTGGGATTGAATGATGGAAGAAGAAAAGTATCTAAAAGGAGAACACTAGTTAATAAAATTTATGGGCAAGTAAGAACTAAGGCTATGTTTGGTTTGAAGGAAAAGGTAAGGAAAGGGAAACGTAGGGAAACCTATTCAAGGTTTCCCTACATTTCCCTTCCTTTCCCTACGTTTTTCCTTCAAACCAAACACATCCAAAAAGAAAATGAAATATGGAGTTAGAAATTAATAATATGTGGTGTTAGATGGAAAATTCTATTAAAAAGTTGGCAAAAATCATTGTAGTGGAATGAAGAGATTCAAAAAATAAGATATCTTGTCACAAGACCTGGCAAATAAATAAACATGGAAAGAACTTTAAGAGAGATAAATGCTAAAAAGGAAGCTTAGCTTAAGGCTTACAATGCATTTTACAAGTAAAATACAAATAAATGTGAAAAAGATAAGTAATATACAAAATGAGGGAGAAGAAAAGCAAAGTAAAGATCTGGATCATGTTAAAGGCATCATAGTCAAGCACAAAGAATTCTAATAGAGAATGAGATTATGGAGAGGTGCAGAACTTATTTTTAGAGGGAAAATCTATGATACGGGAAAGAGTTTTGACCAATCAAAACCCACCCATGAATTTTGATAAATGACACCTGATTCGCTACCACATTTATGATTCCTATTTATTGGTCAGTTGTTTTTCCGATATCATATCTTTTCCATATCATAGTCGAACCCTTTTAGAGATCATTAAATGAAGATCTGGGATCAAATTTTGAAGATCTTAGGATGTGGAGAGTGGAGAACGTGGATATATTCATAGAATCAGGGCTTAAGAGGTTTAGGAAACCTTAAAGAAAATGAAGGTAGGAAAGGCTCTATGACTTGATGGTATCCTAATATAAGTTTGGAAATGCATGAATGGGGTTATTTTGGTTAGCTATGTTGTTTATTATGAATATTGACATAAAGAAAATGGTTGATGAATGGAGGAGAGTTGCAACAACCCCTATATAGAATAGAAGTGGTTGAGTAACGACTAGACATGAAACTGGTGTACCAAAAAACAAATTTGGATTCATGCCAGGTGATCAACTATTAACTATGGAAGCTGTCTTTAACTTAGGAGATCAATAGAGAAATTTAAGAAAGAAAGGTGAAGTCCCTACTTGCTATTTATTGATTAGGAAGAAGGGGATAGGGTCTCTAGGTAAGTCCATCTGGTGCTTCTTGTAAAGGAAGGAGCTTCAAGTAGGTATTTCACTAGGGACATGTATGAAGGGACAATAGTCGATATAAGAACTTGAGAAGGGGAGACGAGTTAATTTCGAATCATGATGGATTTACACCCATGGCCATCACTTGGTATCATTTTGTGTTAGTGGATGAACTAACTGAACATTTACAGGGGGTCCCATGGTGTATGTTTGTTGATGGTTATGGTATTAATTGATAAGAGTGAAGATAGACTGAACACAAATTAGAACAATGAGAGATGCTTTCGAATCAAAAGGTTTCAAGATAACTGATGACTAGCATGAGAATTTGATATGGATTTCTAGTTTTTAAAACATGGAACTTTTGGTAGAAGCCAAAGCCAACAAATTTACAATACTTTTACTCAAGATAGATGTCATGCCAAAGGAACTGGAAAACCAGAAACTAGTTGCAAATTTGGAACTGTAGGCATAAAAAACAGGAAGGAATATATCCATCTCCAGACCTCATAAACTTATGAAAAGAACAGGCAGATGCAATTCTAGTGACCAAGGTCAATCCTTAAAGTAATAGAACTAATTGGCAACCTTGAAACCTCCAACTCCATCTTTGGCAATGGGTCGTGACATGCAAACTTTCAATGTACTGAATGCAGATGGAAGAACAACTTTTAACACTTTCTGTGCATGCTATATGTCTAAAACATAAAAGGACAATATACTTTTATAATTTATGTGAAGTTTGGATTACTGAGATACACTTAAGACACATGTAAGACAGTAGAACAAATACTAATTTTAAAGATAAATAATTGTTTTCTTTCTTTTATTAACAAAAAGTTAATAACAGTGTCTTCAAAGTTAAAATTTAAAACCTGTCATTTTGACAAACAGTTGAAATATGGTGTAGCGGTGGAGTTCCTTGCCATATATATAGACCAACTGGAATTGATTCCCACTAGTTCAATTCTTTTTATACATTTAAAAACGAGTCAAAGGAAGAGTTAGTGTACTTTAATAGGAATTATTTACAGAAGTGAGTATTAAATGCACCATTTGAGTTTAAATGGGGGAGCTAGCATTAAATAAGGATGTTATTTGAATTTAAATTTGTCTTAAATAGGAACTTAATTAGGGAGACCATTAAAGCAAAAAGGAAAAGAAAAAGAGTATCTCAGCCAACACCTAAAGTATTGGTCCGTATTGGCCATATTAGTTGAATTTCAACATTCCACCTGAGCCACATATTAATATCAATACTTTAAACCTTGCTTCCAACATCTTTAAGAACTAGCAATTAAAACCATGCAATGCATGGGGTTAAATAAAAATTTGGTTAGGTTTGGATTGGCAAATTTGGGTTTTGACATCAGTTTGGGTCAAATCTAGGGCTCATATTTAGGGTTGGTATTTGGTTGGCCCTTAACCCGAACCAAATCCATCTAATTTTGTACAGCTACTTTATTAGAGAGAACCAAAAGGGGTTAAGTGAGATTTAAGAGAAAAGGAGGGATTTCATAAATGAGGGGAGAAGTTATATACATTGATTATTTTGGGGGTGGGGAACCATGTGTAAGAAATGAGACGAGGAGCCCATGTGAACTATGTGGTGAGAAGACCCCCCCTCCTCTCTTTCCTCTTTCTAATATAGATATAGACGCAAAAATCAATCCATTCAAGCAATCTTGGACTGATGAAAAATTATTGTCTTAACATAAGGGGTGCTACCTTAACTTTTTTCTCAAAACACACACACACACAAAGTAACATTTGGACCTTAGACACTCTTTGTCAACAACCTAATCTCATGGATGCTATATATAAACCTCATTTTTCCATAAATCGAAAGAGAATATAATTCCTGTTTTTAGATACTAAGTTTCCTTCCAATAAAAAGAGTGATGTACATGAAACAAGTCAAAGTTGTGCCTCTTTGGGATATTCCTTAATTATTACCTTAATCTGATTAATGCCCAAATGAAGCCAGACTAATATAATCTATATCAGTCCACATTTATTTGGATATTTAGAATTTTCTTCAGCCCATAATATAGTTTAAAAAACTACAATATAATGGAATACATCCTCCTAGAAACAAAGTTTCTGCTCTAAATAAATCACATTAAAAGAACTTTTGTTTCCTCCAGACTCCTAAGAAAGTGAGGTTTAGGTGTCTGTTTTTGGTCAGCATCTACAAAGATAGTGGGGCAAGCTCAGCATCACTTGATGGCTGAATAATCCACAGTTGAGTAGGGAATGGTGTTGAATGCCAAAAGCAAAATGCCTTGGTGAGAGTGGTCTGAAGGCTGGGGAGACATGACCAATAAGTTCTCACACATGGCAGGATTAGGTCAAATGTTACCCTACAATGTATTGGCACATGCTAAGAATTATATGCTATTGCTTTAGACAAATGCATGAATTGGAGATGCCGCCATCCTTATGTGGTAAAATGTCATTGACTAACCATGCGTATCCCCTTTCCCAGCAATATCCCCTTTTGTGATTGATGGGCTAATCACCTAACCATTTTGATTTGGTGTGCTCCCAAAGCTCCAAACATTTTGTTGACTCCAGAGATCAAATATAAAAGCTTTTTAAAGAAGTTTTGGGGATTCCAAAATCCAAATCCCTTTAAAAATCAAACATTCTAGTTTTAATCCCAAGGATACCAAACCATGGTTTTGAAAACCAGACCAGACCAGTTGACCTGGGAACAGTCAGGCAACTGGTTCTGTTTCACCCTAAAACTGCTCCTGGGCCAAAAACCATTGATTTGGTCAGCGACCCACTGACCTGGGCAGTCAAACTGTCGACCCAGACAATGGTTTTTTGGCCTTTTTTATTTTAATTATTTTTTAAATCAGAACAGGCCATTCATTCAAACTGGATGGTTGAACCATTAGACCCAGGAACCGCGGTCCCCAAAACGGTTCCGTACCCAGTGACTCCAGTTCAGTTTTTAAAACCTTGTACCAAACACATCCCCCTCCATGATTTGATTGCTAAATCACATGTACTAGTTATCCTGACCCCCTTCCAAAACCAAAAGATTTATTTATTTATTTCTATTTTGATAGTTAACCTAAAGATTCTAGTATCACCTTACTGTTCTCTACATCCCGGTTCATGCTTTGATTCCCATCATGCATTTATCCTTTGTATGGTCACATTTTTATGGTTGCTATACACAATAACTTCTGAGGCATATATGTTTTCAAGGTACCGTGGTGAGGCTAGGTGACACAGGGTGCCTTACTGCCTAGGGTAATTCCCTAGGTTCCATAGCAGCCACCAACCATTTATTACTAGTAATCATCTATAATTTTCATAAAAAGTATAAAATTCAAATTGGAACATAGAAAATCAACATAATCATAAGAGAAAAAGAAGAAAGAAAGAAAACTCAGATAATAGAGGGGCTGAGCCTCTGTTTGTCCTATGAAAAGAAGAAAACAAAGGCTGGAACATGTTGTTTGGACAAAATTTTAAGTTCTTCCTTGTTCATCAGTTCAGGTTTTGAAGTCTTCAAGGGTTAAAGACACCATATAACAACATGAGTGTTGATCGAACCCTAACAAATAAGAAAATAATAAAAATAAACTAGTCTTGTAACCCACAAAATATCTAGGTGCTTAAGTGAGGCAACCCTCCATGGGATGGGCGCCTTGTTGCCTAGGCATCACCTGTTGCATCTGAAAGAACCATTATCCCTCAAAATGTGTGTGCTGGGTACATTTTGTTTGACCAAGCAATAAGGATTTCAACTAGAAACAACCATCACAAGCTGCTTCCATAAGTTCTTCCTGACTATTGTGATACACTGATACCTCCAAAAATGCACCTAAATTTCAGGTGAAAAAAAAATCATAGTACTTGGGATGTAATAAATCTAGGTATCACTATTATATTTCACAGATACCCATTTATGGATTCTCACTCCATTACAGTAGTTGCTATTTTGAAGAACATATTGCTGTTGAAGATCATCTGATAAACCAATAACATCTAGTACCAGAAACCATAACGTTTAAAAATATAAAAAATGCCCTTAAGAAAATGAGAAATTAGGCATAGCAAAACAATTTAAATAACTAATATTGACTATTGTTTTTTTACACAATTATCCATTTAGGAGGTTAAGTGGAGGCTCTTTATCAGTCAACATATGTTGATCGCCAGTAATAACATATTTGTGTTTCAACAACATTGCCAGCACAGCTAGTTAGCTTAAAATAAAAAATACAATTATTTTTTTGGATCAACAATAAAAAGATGCAACTATAGTCAGAAATGAAAAATATAGGAGTAATATAACAAATTGATTGGTACCTTGCTAGAACATGATATGTAGATTTGCAGGGCCATATAATATTCTGAGAATACAAACATGTCCATTATCAGGAAATTATTATAAGAGGGGTATCAATCACCAGAGTTGCTCTATGCAAAAGCTGTAAGGTAAAACCTGGGCATCATTTTTCTTAGCTGAACTGCTGAAGTGAACACATTCAATGTAATTAACTTCCTTAAAGGAGAGAAAAATACAAAAACTGAGAACCAAAGTAGCACGTGCAATTTTATTGTAATCAATAATAAGACCATGACAAATGTAGTCTATCAATCAACATACGTTCAGAACCTATTAGTGCTGGATTGTACAATGCCAAAACTACTACGAATAGCAGCAATCCTAGAAAAGAAAATAAGGAAACAAACAAAGCAATATGTGGAAAAAATAAGATGCTTCGGGTTTTCTTTTGATACAGATGAGGAACGTCCTGCAAACAATTCCGATCGTTACCAAAAAGCCTCTATTTCAGGACAGGGATTTCCTCATATGGCAAATTAAGATATACGAGCAAAAGAGAAATAGGCGAAGAATGGCAAAAGGGGAAAAATCGTAAGAATCAAAACGAAGAATTCAAACGATTCTACCATGCAATGATGAAAGGTAGATGAAGGGTATCACCCAGCGCTCTTCTTCCCAGAACTTGAATAGTAACTGAGGTACCATCTGACAAACTTCTTCAGTCCTGTCTGCAGATCCGTCGTGGGCTTGTATCCAAGCTCCTTCTGAGCCAAGCTTATATTAGCATGGGTGAATTGCACATCTCCATTCCTTGGCATCTTCAACATCAATCTATTGGCTTTAACTTTCAGAAGCTTCTCCAAAATGCTAACAAGTTGGGTGACGGGCACTGGCGATGTGTTCCCTAGATTGAATACCCGTAACTGTGCAGACCCCTTCTTCTTTCCCCCACTGCCGGTACTCTTTTCCGCAGTGTCCAACGCTGCTAAACATCCCTTTACAATGTCATCAATATATGTAAAATCTCTTGCAACAGTCCCATGGTTCGGGGCTTCAAAGATTGGAATTTGGTTTCCTTTGAGTATATCTTTGGTAAAGAAGAAATACGCCATATCAGGTCGACCCCAAGGGCCATAAACTGTGAAAAAACGCAACCCAGTAATGGAAAGGCCATAGATATGATTGTAGGTGTGAGCGATCTCTTCACCAGCCTTTTTGGTGGCCGCGTAGAGACTGGCAGGCTGGTCTGTCCGATCTCTTTCTGAGAATGGTACTTTAGAATTGAGGCCGTAAACAGAACTTGAAGACGCCCAAACGATTGCAGGCTGTGGATTGGCCGATTTGCAGACTTCGAGAACATTTACAAGCCCGGCGATGTTGCTGTGAACATAAGAGCCGGGGTTCTGCATGGCATATCGCACCCCTGCCTGAGCGGCGAGATGCATGACGTGGGTGAATGCGACAACATCGAACAATTTCCGGAGAAGAGCCGAGTCATTAATATCACCTTCGACAACGAAGACGCCTGTGCGCTCAAGGAGGGCCTGGCGGGCGCGCTTGAGCGACGGGTCGTAGTAATCGTTGAAATTGTCAAGGCCAAGGACACCATCGCCTCTGCGCTTCAATGCCGCGGATACATGAGTACCAACAAAACCAGCAGCGCCAGTGACGAGCACAGAGAGACCATTTCGAGAGCGGACACGTGCGGAGGATCTGACGCGCTTCTCCCAGGAGGGGCCGCCCCAGTTGGAGGTACGAAGAGATCGGCGAGAGGGATCGGAAGGTGAGGGCGAAGAGGGAGAACGGAGGAAGAAGAAAAGGATGAGACCGAGAAAGAGAAAGGACCAAAAGGTGAGCTTGGTGAGCGAAGAATGCCATCGAAGTCGGTGAATGTACGGCGATTTGTCCATCTTGAATTTTCCGGGAGTCGATGGAATACTGTCCAGATGAGAAACGGGTTTAAGCTGCGACATTGACCAAAGAAAATGCCACAGATGCGTGTAACCCTACACTGCCCCTTTTTTCTTCGTCTTCTAAATTGTATTATCAGGAAGAGATAATGAAATGTTAAGGCTAGGGTTAGGGTTTAGGCTTAGGGCTCATAATCTTCGTTAATCGTTACTCTTCTTCTTCTTCTTGACAATCTATTAAAAGGACTGTCTCGAAGAGATAAGAAAGATGGGTTTGTCTTGTTCTTCACTTCTTCCCTTCTACTTAACTTAATTTTGGGAATCTTCTGATTCCACGGAAGGGTTTTCGTCGTTCCTCCTCTATTCGGTTTTCAGAAGACAGACAGAAGTGATGGGAAGAAGAGTCGTTGTTAATAAGAGTAGTGACGTTGTCTTGTGCGTGTTTGTGTTTGTGCTTCAGATAGGAGAGAGGAAATAGAGAGGAAACGACGGGCAGGCTATATGGCCCATGGGTGCAATTTGTAAATGTCAGTGAGTTAAAGTATTAAACAAGTCAAAACAGGAATAACTAATAACAAAGGCCCGTTTGGCAAGTTTTTTTGAAAAGATCTAATAGCTCTTACAGTTAATAGATATATTGAACTTTTGAGATCAGATCTGGGCAGTCTGAAGATCGTTTGGCAGATGCGCATCTTTCTATATGTCATTTCAGGTCTTTCCGCACGAGATTAAAACCTGGAAGATGCTGGGAAGCTTCATTTGGAGCTTCCCGAAATCAACCCAAAATGGACTTCCCATGTTTTTATGGCACCCCGTCTTTTGGTGGCAAAATCGTCCGCATGCTAAACGGGAATAGACCGATTTTCGATCTTCCCAACTTATAAACAGCAGAAAAACTGCATGAAAAGACACCAAACGGGGCCTAATAAATGAGATTGGGCTCTAACTCCATTTTATTTGCTTTTGAAATTCGGCTTCTAGGCTCTAGCAAAATCAATCTTATCTAATAAAAATATTCTTTGGATCTCTCTAGCATTGATTTCATCTTGTGTGGGGAGTGTTCATTGCATTGAAGTTGGGGATGGCGTGGGGTAAGGTTGTCACTTGTGAGTACTAATGAGTAATGAGGGGCTCTAGGTTCTTCGTCTTTTACTCTTGACCCTTGTTGGGTGGTGTGAAGAGATGTGTAGAATCAAGGTTCTAAATATGGATACGTCCTATACTTCAGTAAAGGCGTATCAGACAATATCGATATTTAAAAAAAAAAAAAATCGATTAGAGGGCCAGTTTAAGGCTCTTCTACTCCTAAACCGGTCAAAGCCCCGAAACATTCTTTGTAGGGCATATTGGGGTGCTTCCGATTTGAACCTTGTGTGGAATATTGAATATGGAATTCCTCTTAATGCTGTATTATTAGGATTTGGTAAAATTACCTAATGTGACCTAATGTGATGGCTATGGAAGCTGGGTTGTATATTTGGTAAAATGACTTAATGTGAGAGGAGACAAGAGTCACGAGAGAGAGTGTCTTAAAACCCCTTTAGTGGGACTCGCCAACATTCACCAAAAGGCAAAAGCAGAGCAGCCGCTTGAAAAGAAGGAAGGTTGGCACTAGTGTCCTCATTAAGGTATCTTGTGTTCTAAATTTCTACTTTAGGTTGTAAAGCTACCAACTTCCAAGTGAGATGAACCACTGAACCAATACCCACTCTAAACTCTGAAGAAGAGAAGAGACTAATCTCTCTCAAAATTAAAAGAGAAAAAAATGGGAAGTGGAAAGCATAGACAATAATAAAAAGCAAACCAACACTACCAACTCTTTTCATAGTGTGGCATGGCCCATCTACCTTTGATGGGGTCATACTAACAACTAACAACACTGGTAACATAAATGGGCAATCTTCTATACATGGCTTATGACCAAACCAATCCAATGGCCGTAGAGTGCAGAGCGTGCCCTAGTTATGATCCAATCCAAGACTTCAAATATAGTCATCAATTCATCAAGAGAGGGTAAGGTTCTAAATATCGATGTAGGCAAATATGCCCAACTGGCCTATCCTGTGCTCTTCTATTCTTTTTTATTCAAATCGACTCAAAGAATCAATTTAAAGCCCATCTACCCTCTGAACTAGGTCAGACTCCGAAACACTTATTGTAGAGATGTATTAAGGAGTCACCAATATGATACATATCAGCAGATATACCCTGATACATTGCGGAATTTAAATCCTTGGCAGAGAGAAGAATGGAAGAAAGAAACATCACTGCATCAGATAAACACATGCCCTAGGAAAGCATATGTGAAAAGAGGAATTTTGTTAAGCTACTGTAGTGCATGTGCATTAACCAATGCTATATCCCTATTATTTATTGTAACAAGGCCAAGTTCCAACCTAAGTTGATTGCAGGCGGTGGCCCGTGGCTGTCACAGACTCACGGGAGGCAGCAAAATCTGAGCAGCCCCCAGATTCAGCTTACATGTGATGGCAGTTCAGTAGTTCACAGCAAATATGTCCTATTTAACATTACCCGATTTCTGTGATATATCAAACAACAAGAAGATTATTCTATTCCGTAATATCAAAGGAAAAGAAGAAAATAAATTCGGTCTATTCAGAGTTCAGAGAGCACGTGTCAGCGAGAGGTCAACCGGGGGATCGGAACCTTCTGGCATTGGATTCCAATCCAATGGTCCACGGCTCATGAAATGGATGCTCAAATTACACATGTAACAATCAACGAATAAATGATGTAAGTGAATAATTTAACCAAAGAAATAAATTCCTGCAACTGCCAATCTCCCATCAACATGTGACGATGTCTGGCATCAGAGAGAGATCCGAGGGGCCATCCAACTCTAAGTTGGGTTTTCTTTGTCTTAGGAGTTGGCACACATATATGACATAACACATGCAAAGCAAAGCTGTTTGTCTACAATTTCTATTGAAAAATGCTGCTTCAGCCTTCAAGATTTCATGGGTAGGCTAGATAGAAGGGCAACTTTTGTGATTTAATATCAATAAAAGTAATATAATTAAAAAAATTTCAAAAATAGGTTTACTTTTTAAAAATAATATCAATAAAGGGCAAAAATACTATTCATCATCTTCTTCTTGCCCTTTGTTCATCAGAGCCACCGGCCCCGCCTCCGGCAACGTTGCCGGAGGTGGTGGTGACAGTGATGGCGCTGGTGGTTTCTCTGTCCAACACTGCCACTTTCACCCACCTCCGCCTCCGCCTCCAGCAACGTTGCCAGAAATGGGTGGAGACAGGTGGTGGCAGCGGCGGGCAGAGGAATAACCACCAGCGCCGCCGCTGCCACCTCTGCCTCCGGCCACCTCCGGCAACGTTGCCAGAGGTAGAAACGGAGGTGGGTGGAGGTGTCGGCAGGCGGCAATGGACGGTGGTGGCGGGTGGCAGCGGACAGCGGCTCTAGTGAATAAATGGCAAGAAGAAGAAGATGAAAAGTGTTTTTACTCTTTATTGATATTATTTTTAAAAAATTAACCTATTTTTGAAATTTTTTTAAATATATTACTTTTATTGATATTAAACCCCAAAAGTTACCCTTGTATGCTATTACCCCTAGATAGAAAGGAAAATGGTCTTTAAAGTTAAAAAGTACAGGTCTCCCCGAAAATCTCACCTTCCAATTCGAGGGCCAGAATTTTCTACCACCCAAAAGAAAAGGCTTTTTTTAACTGAGCTCAATTATTGTTGTTAGACTTTATATCTTGACGCTTATCCATGTGAACACACTGTAGTGTGTATCCATTGGATACCTGGTCTGAATAACGTGAAGACAGCAATGGGTCAAGTGGTCTCGGGGGTGAAAAGGACAAGAGATCAATTTGCTAAAGTTGCTACCTTTTTAGACCATGGATGATTGATTAGTTTTGGTGGCTGCCTGGAGACCTAGAAAGCTGGAACTGGAAGCTACGTGACTATAGTTGCTTCATTTTAGGAACCCTCTAATCCAACATCATCTGAGTTTCTTTCTTACGGCCCTAGCATTGACTTCGCTTAGCTCCCTTGGGCCTTGGCTCCAAGGTACCGCTCAATGGAGGCGAGGTCAGTTCAATCATATGGAGGCATGTAGAGTCCAGTTTCTTCTGTTATGCTAATTAGGTTGTTGAATCACCTACCAACAACATTACCATGTCGTGCCCTTAGTTGCCTCCATTCCTGAGTTGATTGTTGAGAGATCGGATTTCGTCCTCCATACTTGTATGTTTTCATTGGATTTGATTGTTGAAAGCCGATGTCAGATCTCCAAAATGACTTCATTTCTGTTATCATTGAATCCCAATAATCAATCAGTTTTTGATAACAAAAATTGTGCATCTAATATTAATAACTTGAATGAGATTTAGTGACATGGGTCCCAAAGCATGGTTGGTAATGAAAATTGCAAATAATAATGCCAAGGGATGGGCTCGGATCAAATTACAGCGTCCACAAACAAGAAATAACCTTTAATGGACGATCACAACCCATGATAGATTACAAGGGGATAAAGGAAAAAGTGGTTTATTCTCTACTTTAATAATAGTTATCCTGAGAGATAACCTCATTGTGAGTAACCTGCCTGTTGGCTGTTGGTTAGCTAGTCTTTTAATTTCCGTTCTTCCATATTCTAATGCCTTGTAAACCTCTGGAGAACGTCAAAGTAGTCAGGGAAGGTCTTCAGGGTGCAACCAGGATCCTTTATGATGGCAAGAACATCTGCACAGGTGGCAAGAGAGAATGCCATGGCCATTCCATGATCATCATATGTGTCAATGACTGTCACATTTCTCTCGGGTGGAGTGATCACACAGTAAACAGGCCCTTCTTCTACTGTTGCTCCCAGGTCCCAGCTGATGTTAAACAACCCAAAAGAAAAGAAATGTCAACAATGTTACCAGGTAGTATGAAGGAAACTCAAATGCACAAGGAACCAAATGACACCAACCTTCCGAGTTCTGTGCAAATGGCAATCATACCCTCTGTTTCCTTCACTCTCCAACTAGCCACTGACAATAAAGAAAAGAAAAAGATAAAAGGGCAGAAGCTAAGATCCCAATGCCTCAACAACATACATTAGGAATAACCATTATTTGCAACACCAAGGGTGTCTTTCTAGGGCTTTGATTTGGCATGTGTATCAGTACCACACATGGTGGTACAGTCAGAAAGGTTGGGTCCAGCCACTCCAGTTTCATTAAATAAATCTTCAAGTTAACTAAGAAATCAACTTGATTGAATGATCATAGTCCCCTCCTTTCCTTTTTTTTGTTTGGTTACAGTGCAGGATGATCATAGTCATCTGATTTACCAAATTTTGTGGCTATCAGGAAAGAGAAGCCTCATCCAAAATATTATATGTCAGTATTTTGTAGGTAATAAACAAGTGCCAAAGACTGTTGGTAGATAAGATGGTCAATCGGCATCATTCCCATAGCAGAGGCATGGGATCAAACCCATAGAACTGCAGGCTCTAACTGGTATGGCCAGTGGGCCTCATGTTTATCCTGCTTTGTCCCCACCTCTGTATTCCTGCTAACATCTGATCCACTAGCCCAACTATTCAGATACCAAAAAGGAGTAATGAACCAGCATTACTTATAGCCATTTCTCATGAACTAAATCAGACCATCTCTTATGGCAGTGGGACCATCAGCAAACAGTATGGCAACAGCAAGGGTCATTGCAATATCAATCATCATTCTCATATTGACATCAATGGCACGTAAACGTTTCTGATTGGAAGAATCTCAGGGTGGACCCTTGACAGCAACACTGCTCTCTGTCTAGGAAACTTTTGCTCCCATCTTTTCAAGGATCTCAGCAAATTTCAAATCTCCCTACACCAACAGGGAAAAGCAAAAGAGGTAATGTTGGAAAAGTCAGTTACTATCAACACGGTAACAGGGGTGGAGCCAGGAATTTTTTATGAGGGAGGCCAAAACCTAGTCTAGATTGGGGGGGGGACCATAGGGGTGGGGAATGGGGGAGAGGGAAAATATACATAAAAGAGTCTAATTTAAATAGGAATTTTTGGGCCATAGTGGGGTTGTGGCTCCCTTGGATCCCCCCTGGCTCGGCCCCTGCACAGTAATATATGGCAAAGGCCTTAAGAGCTAGAGACAAGGCAACATGTAGCCATATGTGGTACCTTTAAACTACTTGTCCCACAACCTTCTACAGTGATGGTACCACCAGTGACTGCAGAACCAGCAGGAAGTAAATAACACTTGATGTGTCACCTTCTACATAAGCATTTCCAGGAGACCTGATTTTATTTCCAAGGAAAACTAATTCCAATATAAATAGCTTGTACAAAGTGGTACAATGTTATCAGACATAATTGTGTTTTTGACCACCTCTGATTGAGAAAAAGGTCCCAGCCACTGCTACTCTAACTGTGACTCCAAAGCGTTCCATCAATTTCAGTGTCATCTCAACATAAGGGATGGCAATTAATTTATCAGTAATCTCAATTTCCACATCTCCTAAGGCCAAAAGAGCTGTCATAAGCAGTGCAGTCAAATACTGACTACAAATAGATCCGGAGAGCTTCACCTGTGGAAGTGTGGAGATCATCGTCATCATTATCTATGCCTTATCCCAACTATATAGGGTCAGATACATGAATCCTGTTTTGCCAATCTGTTCTATTTAAAGCCATATCCACTGTTAAATTATTAGTGCTTAAATCATTTCTTACTATTTCTACCCATGTCCTTTTTAGTCTACCCCAAGCTCTTCTAGCCCCTTCAATGTGTAACAAATCACTTCTAACTAGGGGTGTAAACATATCAAATTTGAATCAAATTAGGCAATATCCGAATTTGAATCCAATTAGAAAATTCGATATTCGTATTCGACCAATTAATTATTTTAGGTAATTAGTAAATATATAAAATAAATATTTTTTATATAAAGTATATAAATATATAAGTTATATACATAATTTAATTATTATATATAAATTATACAAAAAATATTTATATATTTTATATAAGAATTAAATAATTGGTCAAATTTGAATATTTATTGCATCGAATCAGGTCATATCCGAATTTGACTAATTATAATATTCAAATTATCTGAATTCGATTCGATTATGTCAAATCTTGAGTTTGAAATCAGATTTTTGAACACCGTTTTTTTTAATGAATGGATTTTCAAATACCGTTGACACCCCTACTTCTAATTGTTGCAGTTGGTGGTCTTCTATGCACATGCCCAAACCATCTTAGTCTACTCTCTCCCATTTTATCACCTATTGGATCTCCTTCTAGGTTCCTATGGATAACTTCATTCCTAATCCTATCCTTTCTAGTTTTTCCACTCATCCATCTTAGCATTTGCATTTCTGCCACATTCATTTTCTGGACATGTTGTTTCTTGACTGCCCAACACTCCACTACATACAGCATAGCTGGCCTTACAATTGTTTGTCAATCGGCAAGAAAGAGAATAGCAAACCAATAAGAAAATAGGAGGAAGAAAGATGGAAAGAAAATAGCAAACATCTTAGTTTTTTTAGCTCTTTTTTTTTCAAATCCGGTTCAGAGGGGCCGGTTTAAGGTCTGCCCACCCCCTGAGCCGGTCAAAACCCCGATACACCCTCTGTAGGGGCGTATCAGGAAGCTCCCAATACGATACGTATCAGCCAATATGTATCGATATTTTGAACCTTGATCCATAGGAAGGTGTTCTCTGATTTTACTATTGATGATATACTCAGAAATTAGGGGGTGATTGCAGGTTCCTCTTCTTCCGAGAAAAAAAAATACTTGTACAACAGTGGGCTCCACCTATAGTTGATTTTCTTTAGCTGAACTTCGATGGTAGTAGCTTTGGCAATCCAGGCCATTCTGGGATAGGAGGAGTGATAAGAAATGATAGGGGAGAAATTTTGGGGATGTTCTCAGGACCAATTGGGAAAGGGGATTCCCCAAGAGTTGAGCTAGAGGCAGTCATGTATGGTCTACAAAAATCTGTGGAGTTAGGCATTCAAAAATTGATAATTCAAGGTGATTCTAAAATAATCCTAAGCTGGTTGAGAAAAGATGAAAAGAGCCCTTGGTGGTTCAGAAATGAGATCAAAAAGTTCAGAAGTCTGTCAAAAGATATGTAAACAATAGTTCAGTGGATACCGAGGTCGGCCAACAGTCTAGCAGATCAATTGGCAAAATAAGGGGCTAGAAGAGAACATGGTTTTTGGGCACGGTTGTAATATTAAAAGCAAACTCTTGGGGGTTTTTGCTGTTGTTTTTTTTTTGTAGGGGTAGCCGAGGCTGCCCACTGATGTAAATTCATTTTATATCTTAATAAAAAATTTTCCTGTTTTACTGATAAAAAAAGAGATGCAAGACTGACCTCTCTATAGACTCAACAAAATATCCACTCTCACAGTCTCACTTAACCCTAATCCCACACAACCAATGGCTTAAATAAGCAAAAGACCAAATTATATCAAAATTTCACATAGGCCCCTATTCCTCCCATAAATACATACAAGTCCCCAAAAACCTCCAACATCCTCCTTGAAATAAAACCCGAATACAACCAAATACAATATATTTCTCTACACTTTTTTATAGCATTTTCCTTTTAATCCAAGTGGTATTCTCCTATCACATAAAAGTCTAGATGCAACCCTCCATTTTGCCCATCCTGCTCTAATTCTTGGGGTGAAATCCTCCTCAATCTCTCCCTAGTTATGAATTATTGAACCAAGGTACTGGAAATGGTCACATTGAGTTATCTATTGGTCTCCAATCCTAAGTGTATCTTGATTTATACTCTTATCATTACTAAATTTGCATGTCATACACCTTTTTAGTCCTACTTATTTTAAAACCTCTTGTTTCTAAGGCATTTGTCCATAAGCTTAATTTGGATTTAATCCTTCATAGTTTTATCAATTAAAAAAATGTCATATGCAAACAACATGCACAGCTTGACCTATGGAGATGCAAAAAAAAAATGAAAAAAAAAGAATTGCAAATAAAAAATTAGGTGAGTCTAGAGTCCCCACTACTACAAGAAGGATCCTACAGATGTACACAAGAAAAGTGAATATTTCCAATAAAAAGGGGATAATTACTTTCTAACTTTTTAAAACTTTAACTTGATCCATCTCTTGGTAAATCATACCCCCTTTGAATCGACAAAATAAGTCCTCTTTGCATAGGTAAATAGAAATAAAAAAAAAAAGCTCCATAGAAGCATAACAAACTAAATCCTATTTACATAAAATCAATATTTCAAAACCGAGCAGTAGATGTCCCCTAGA